GCTGGGGCTCAGTAGAGCCCATTGTTTCTCCTTTCCTTTTCCCATCTCTTAAATATCCCTGTGCCAGCCCAGGTGGGCTGGGACTCTCCAGATGTGTCCACTCAGGCTGCCTTTGGTTGGCAAAATACATGGAATAAGGGGTACTGCAGCATCAGGAATGCCCGGAGTGTAAGTGAGAGATCCCCCCTGTTAATTAGAACAGCCTGTCCCTGGAAGCAGATGCTCAAACCAAACCCCCTTCCTATAGAAGCTTTGGTTTCCCGGTGTGTTCTCCTTGTGTCCATGTGTTTGCTGCTCAGGGATCTGTTTCCCTCAAACACAACCAGATATTTTTGGAGAGGAATGTTGCTGCACTGCTGACCGTCTCGGAGTGCCTCATTTTCTTGGCGCCTTTCAAGGTGCACGACGGCAAAGTTCCCTGGTGTGGTTTGGCTTTGCCTGACGGTTTTGGGCTGTGGTGGCATTCAATGCATCATCTGTCAGGGACAGAGCTCTGCCCCAGTTTTGGTCCCAGCATTAATGCTCGAGGGGATGCTGAGCAGGTTGTGAGGAGACGTCTCGTTGTTAGGACAGCCCAGACCCGGCTGTTTGGGTTTGGACAGCGCTGTTGGATGGAGCTGGTTGTGGCTGCCCTGGGGCTGGAGCAAGTGTTTGGGTGACTCCCATCAGCTGGAGCTCCTTGCAGCCAAGGATTCTCCCCTATTCCTTTCAAAAGTGAGGCTTAATCATGTCTTTGCCCCTGAAATGTTCCAGCTTGAAAGAAACCACTGGTCAAACAGAGTGAAAGGGCACCGGGTGATGTTTATCACCAGGAGCAGCTCTTGGCAGACCTGTTGGATGTTTGTAGACCACAGGATGTCAGGGTGGGCTCTTCTTCAACACCGTGATGCCTGGCTGGGAGTTATCTGTGCTCCATCCCTTCCTTATCCGTAGTGTTCCATATTTCCATTATTTTATGGGATACTTAATGCCCGTTAGGGAATGGCAGCGTGAGGCTTTGCTGCTGGATTGTAAATGTAAATGGTGCTTCAGACATACCTTGTTCAACTGATATTATAAATGTGTTTTAGATAAGGGCTTGACACTGGGTTGCTTTGGGATACCTGCCTTCCCTGGCCACAGTCTTGAGGACCAAGTTGAGCTGGAAAGGAACAAGTCAGCTTGGAAGCAGAGAGTTTTCCAGTTGTATGGCGTGGATGGGTTCCCTCCTAATTCAAACAGGGTGAGCAGGAAGGTCCTACTGCAGATTTTAACCCATCCCTCACCATCTGCATGTGTTTCTCTGCACTTCAGCAGCTGGAATGAGGCTGCTGTTGGATTGGAGCTGCTCTGGAAGGGTCTGTTTCAAATTTAGGGATTCACATGTAACCGTTCCAGCAGCTTTTCCTTTGGAAAGAGAGCTTGACTGCGGCTTGCTGGCTCCGAGGTCGGTGGCTTGGTGAGCTGAGCAATCAGGAGCCACAGGAGAGGTGAAACATCTTGATTTCTGCCTGTTGCATTCCCAGAAAAGCTGTCCTGTGCACCACAGTTCCGTGTCACGCTGTATCCTTAATCCTTGCTTGTTCAGCGGCAGCTCTGACTGTCCCTGTGACAGGGAGCCGGTGCTGAGGAGCCATTCACAAGTGCCTTTCATCCAGCCCTCCTCCTATTCCCTGTGTTCCTCAACAAGGATTTAGCCTGCTTTGTCTGTGCTGAAGTTCATCACCTCCCTGCAGCAGTCCTGTAGTTTTCAAGTTTGACCTTTGTGCCAGGGTTTTCAGGCAGGTGATGGAATATTTGGCCAAACCCTTCCCATCCTTGCCAGGATCCTGCACCTGACAGTGCCATTTCAGCCAGGCACAGGCAGCAGGAGATTCACTGGGAGCTTAACTATGAGAAAATGAGCTCAGGTGAGCTCAGGTGTTGCAGTTGGAGCTGCACAAGGGGCGTTTTCAGGCAATAAAGACTTGTTTTGTTTTAAAGGAGTGTTCTTGAAAGAACGGTTGTTTTCTCAGAACCGGATTTTAGGCAATTTTTTAAACCCTTGGAAGGATTTCTGCTTCTGTTGCTCCCATCTCCACAGAATCAGAGACTCGCCCTCTCGATGGCACTTTGCTTAGCTGAGATGGGAAGGCGTTCCAGGGCTGGAAGTCCTCTGGCTGTGGGCACAGCTGGAAAGCCTTTCCTGAGCAAAGACAAATCCCTTCTTAAAAGTTGCCATTAAAACTAATTCGGGAGCATTTTCAACACGTCGTTCCTTCAGCCACTGCGGAAATGCGAGTTCTGCTTTTGTTTTGCCTTTCCCAGAGTCGATGCCAAGCCATTGATTCAAAGAGAAGCAGCTCCAGCATCTTAACTGCCAGCTGCAGGAATTTCCAAGTCTTGCTGCCTATCCCACTTGCCCAGTTGTTGGATTTTCCGTACCTCGAAGAGGCTGGTTCGGCGCTCGGAAAGAGGAGCTGGGACTGCCACGAGCCCCCATGAAACGGGAGGGATGGAAAAAAATGACACCTGAGTAGCGGGGAAGGAATGACAAATTACGCCTGACTGTCAGCTCTTGGTGTTTCTTGCTTTAAGCAGCGTGTGAAGTGGTGATGGCAGGGCTCGTTTGTAGCAGGGCTGTGGTTTTAGATGCTTTACGATGCAAACTTGTCTGTTTGTAAATCTTGCATGAAGTAATTTTTAAGGCAGGAAAAGCTGCTTTAATGAGGCTGTCTCAGAAGCAACACTTGCTGTGATCTTGTATGACCTGCTGCACGTTACAGGAGGTTGGATTTCACCCGGAATCCCATCCTTGGGTCCGATAGGGTCAAGTGGAGCTGCTGTCTCCTAATTTGAAGATCTCAACTGGTGGAGCATTGGTGTGTTTTGTAGCAACCAGCCAACCATCCACCTTCAAAGCAGCTGTGCCTTTGATTTGAGCCTACAAGGAAGATGGAAAGGGCCTTTTTCCAAGGCGTATAGTATCAGGACAAGGGGGGATGGCTCCACACTGCCAGAAAGTAGGGTTAGATTGTATATTAAGAAAAAACTCTCCCTGGTGAGGCCCTGGCACAGGTTGCCCAGAGCAACTGTGGCTGCTCCGTCCCTGGAAGTGTCCAAGACCAGGTTGGATGGGAGTTGGAGCAACCTGGTGTAGTGGAAGGTGTCCCTGCCCAGGGCAAGGGGTTGCAATGAGATGGACTTTAAGGTTCCTTCGAATCCAACCCATTCCGTGGTTCTATTTCTTGTGGATGTGGTTTGTCTTCCTCTTGAGTTTCTCTCGGTCCCAGCTGCCTGTCACAGCAGCTCCCTGGCTACAACATGTGCAGGTGTTTAAGTTACCTTTGGTTCTTTCTTTGGCTTAGATACATTCAGATGCACTGGGTTTTCCAGGCTGGGTTGTTTCTTATCATCCCTTCAATCCTTTCCCACAGCCCCCGTAGGTGAGAGCAACTTTCTGTTGACATTTATAGCCAGGAAAAAGAAACTCTTCAGTGACAAAGAGCAGATCTAGTTGTTTTACTCCTTTGTGGGGCTGTGGCAGAGGGGGATCTCTGGGAGATCCCAGTCATCTGGAGCAAACCCTCTTGGATCTGCTCTCTTCAGCTGGGCTGTTTGCAGAGCACTATTATGCCTGTAATAATCTGGCTCAAACTACACAGGCAGGGCTAGTACCTTTACAATCCAGTGGCTTGTGTAGCCATGTTGTGTGTCTGTAATAGTTTGGTCTGGTTGTTCTGGTATACCTGGGTCATCCACTGCTCGTTCCATGGGTGCAGAGTGATTCCCTGAGGAAGCTGGGAGCGAGCTGGTAGATTTATCTTGTTGAGACAGAAACAGTTGATGGTCAGGAAATCATTGCAGAAGGACAAATTCGCTAAGTTTGAGCATTAAATCTCATTTTTGAGATTTTTGAACATTAGATTCTGGATTGGGCACACACAGTTTTTTCTTGTCGTGCTCTTTGACTATGGAGGACTTGGGAAGGTGTTAAGAATCCTCCTGATTTTTGCATACAGCTTCAAGCACTGGCATTCCTGGTTATTTCCTTCCTGCTGAGTGTATAATTTGGGGCCAAGCAAATGATGCTTTCTGGACTGCTGTGGTCTCACCTGTTACTACCCCTTGACCACTGGTCCTGGTGAACACTGGGGTTCAAGCACTCTTTGTCAAGGTTTTCAGCCTTCTGAATTACAGGAGGCATTTTCCCCGTGGTGCTGCCCATGTTGATGCTTTCAGCCACTTGGCTGAAGCTTGTTTTGGAGAGGAGCATTTTCCCTCTCACCCGTGAAATGGTTTGTGCTGCTCTTCCTCTTCTGGACGGGCTTATGGCCTCGCTCCATTCGTTTGAGAGCAAGGACCAGCAAGGATCTGAGTCTGTGGTCTCCCATGGATTGCACAGGTTTGACCTCTTGAGTACATCTCAGACCCCTTTTGATCCAGGCTACTGCAGTTTTGGGATTTCCATAAAAATCTGGTTTTGTGGGTGGTGTAAAGATGCTTGTCCTGATCACAATGGATGCATGAAACTTCAGGTTTGATTTTAGGAACGAGCTTGTTTGCAAAGGCAAGATAACTTACTCAGGTGTGGCCTTCATCGCTCCACAGGAAGCGTTTGAACAGGTTCTGCCAGGAGCAGGCTGAACCTTACTCAGGCATCTGATGCATTTAGGCTGGAAAAGGTTCTTTCCCATCACTTTTGCTTTTCTGTCCCAGAGCCAAATCCCTCAGGAAGTGCCTGTGTGTTCAGGTATGTGGGGATACAACTGAGGCCTCGCTCTGTGGTGCAGAGCATGGTTTGCTGTGAGGGCAGATGTGCAGCCAGCTGTGGGGCTGGAGCCTTTGCAGACAGGGCTGCAGCAGCTCCTGTGGGAGCTCTCAGGGGGCTGTGTTTGTGCAGGGCCCTCGTGTTCTGCAGAGGAGCATTCCAGCTTGGTTCCTCGTGCTGGAGGTGTGTCGAGACTGTCAGCTCTCTGACTTGAGAGTTTGAGGTTCTGCTGTTCCCCCTTTATTCTGGATAAATCACAGGAACGGGGCTTCTTGTGGTGATACCCAGTGTAAGCCTTGTGTTCTCCTGCCTTGCACACAGCTTTTAACCTGAAAGCTCTTGAGCTGGAGCTATCAGACTGCTGTCTCCAGTTCTGTTTCCTTCTGCTCCTGGGAACTCAGGAATGGAGACTTCCAAGACCTTCCACTGTCCCCTACAACCACTCCATGCTTCAAAGGCCGTTTCTTTTGTCCCAGTGTAGTTTCATCTCGTTTTGCCTGTGAATATCCTGGCATGATGAGGGAGGGAGCTGTTTGATACTGTTGTTCTTATTTTGGGATATAGAGCTGAGAGCTCCTCTCTCCCATTAAGTAAAGGAGCATCTTCAGAGCTGAGTGTTTTGCTGAGTGGTGCTCAAGGCCATAGGGACCCCTTTAGGCTGCTGTTACTTAATCAGCTTAAAGAGACGATTGTGGACACAGCCACAGGCCACCAAATTGCTCTGTAGAGCCTGTAGTGTCTCCCTGAGTAAGAACATGTCTCAGATCAGGGATCTGGAGTTCCTTGTGTTAGACAACCTCAGGTTATGTATAAAAAGCTCACTGTGGTGTGGTTCTCCCTCATTTTTTGCTGGAAGGAGGACTGTGATGTCAACCTTCCTAAAGTCACTCCCTAAGGCTTCTCTGATCCTCATCCTGCAGTTCCTGCAGAGGTCCAGGTTCTCCGGTGGCTTCACTCGTAGAGATGAGGACTCGTGTGTTAGAAATGGTGAGAAAATCCACGTTGAGCTTCGTGACTGTCTCCTCCTTTGATTTTCCTAACTGTAAATTAAGTGGGGATAATCTGTCTTCGTGTTGCAGGCAGTGTTGCAGAACAATGAGCAAAAGCCTCGATCTCTTCCAGTCTGGGCAGTCACTGGGCAGTGATCAGGTCTGTTTTCGGTTACTTGTCCTAAATTTCCTGGTTTCCTGTGTATCTGTATCAATCTGTGTGTGTGCACTTTAGGAACCACGGAGCAGGAGTTGAGCTGGACACCAGGAGGAGTAGAGGAGGTGCGTAAGAAAAACCTAGATCCTGGAGATCAGAATGACCTGCTGGGAGAAAGCTTAAGGGCTAAAAAAATCTTCAGGTTTCCCAAAGTCTGAGCAATTATTTAGGTCTTACCAGAGTCTCTGAAGAAGAGAAGGCTGTGGGCTTACATGAAACGAGGCTGACCTGTGGTGTTGGGAGGGAACATCACAAAAACTAGAAGGGACTGCCCATTGGAGACACTGGGGAGAACCTCTAAGAAGAAGGAGCTAGCAAGAATCTCGATTGTCCAGCAAACAAGACCAGGGAGCCACCAGCTGCTTGGCCACAGGCCTTTTGGTGCTTTGGAAAGCCCCAAATTTGAGATTATCTCCCTCAAATTTTAGGTTATCTACTGGCAGAAGCAGAGGTAACACACCCAGGTGAGCATCTAGGCAGTATCCCCAGAAACACTCTTGACCTGCAGGAGTAATCAGCAGTGACATTATTGCTCATTTAGTTTTGTCCCCCTTTCTGCTTTACTCCCTTTAGTTATTCCCCTAGTCTTCATTGACTTGCTGCTAAATTATTTTCATAGTAAAATAAGCCAGTTTGCAGCCTGACTGAAATAATTAATTACTACTGGGCTACAACCCAGTGTGAGATCCTCCATAGCCCCATTGGTGTTTGAAGCACAGGCTGAAAATAGAGTGTGAAAATAGAGTGGCTGTGGGTGTCTAGTGTTCCCAGAGGGCTTGGCCAGGAGTAGGGATGTTTTGGAGACAGTTTGTGTCGCTTAAAGGCTGCTAATAAATGCAGCTAGAGGCTCTAAATCTGTGTTTAACTCTGGTGGATAAGCCAGGGCAGATGCAAGAACTGGGATTTGGGAAATATATTTTTAAGAAGGTCTGACTTGGGGTGGATTTTAGAAAGAGGCTGTGAGTGAAACAAGAGTTTGCTCTTATCGCTCGGGCAGTTTGAGATACCACTTGGTGAGATTTGAGCTGAAAGGAGAGAAATTGGAGCGAGGAAGCTGAATTTTAACAAGCAAATGTAGCTGTACCCCCAGCTGAGGGAACCCACTTTGCACCTGGTGGGTGCTGACAGGTTTCAAGGCCAGGTTTTGGTTCCAGGTTGCTGTAGCCAGTTGTTTTTCCTCCAGCTCACAGACAGAAGCCTAAAGTGTGCTGGTGTCCATCCAAAGAGGATCTGTCTGTTTATCCTGAGGTAGCAAAGGTAAAATTGTGAAAGGTTCCACCTTAAACCACCATAAGCCACTGGTGCCTGTTGCTGCCTGTGTGTTTATATGGGTCAGTTTTTATTTTGTGTTAATTTTGTGTGTTTTTATTTAAAACAGCAGGGTAATACTGACTTGCTGCTTAGCAGTTTTGCTTCTGCTCCTAGGGCTCTGAATCTCAGGAGGAAACTGGTTAGAAATGTACCCCTTTCCTGCTGATGCTGTTAAACCAGCATATGAGGAGCATTAGGTAGGTTCTAGCTTTCTGGAGTCATAAAAGTTCCTTTTTGGGGAATGAAACAAGTGTTTTTTGTAATGATGTGTCTGTTACAGTCCTCCTCCAGAAAGCAACAGTGTCTCTTGAATTCTAGAGGCAGCTTTGCCATTCAGGTTAGAACCCCAACAATCTAATAAATTCAACTTAAAAAAAAAATTAATATTTTCTAGCACTTTGCCAATCCAAAACCCATCAAGTTCCAGCAAACCTGGGGCCTTTCAAAAGTTGAGCAGTATTAGAATTAAAACCACATCGAGACCTGCGTATTAAGCTTTAGTTTTCTTTACCCCCAAATAGTTGTATGTTGCTCAGAATTAGGGGGAAAGGGCGGCTGGAACTTGTGGAGCAGCTCAGCTGTTGGTGTGGGATGTCAAAGGGCTCACCAAAGGTAGAGGAGCCTTTTGCATCTGTGTGGGAGGTTTGACCCCAGCACTGTTTGAGAGGCTGCTCAGACCATGCCACCTCAGTGCTGTTTCTTACTTAATGCTTGATATGGAAGTCTGGGAATTGGGAGCATTATTGATTTGACCTCTTTTAAATTTCAGCAGCTTCACAAGAGACAGAGTGAGTTAGTAAGGAATGCAAAAATGTGTAAGTAATATATATTTTTCTAGCTGAAAAGCTTAGGCATATCCATTTTGTACCTTGTGTCTTCTTACCAGAGTGAGGAAGGTTGAACTGTCTTTGCTTTGGGGGAAATCTTTCTCTTTTCCTTTCTCTCTCCTCCCTGCTTCTCCCTCTCCAAGCTGTGGGCACAACACCAGCTCTGCTTTCTCCTCCCTGTAGTAGGTGTGCATTTTCCTGGCTGGTTGGTGTCTCTGACTGGGGGGCTCTTGGTATTTTGATTTATTTTATTTTTTTCCCTGCGTCCATAGCAGATCTGGGGATTTTATATTTTATTTTTTTTTAATAAGTGGGAAAGACAATAAATCAACCATGTTAAATCCAAGGAACCTGCAACTGCTACACAACTTGTCCTCTGTTGTGGTAACATTAATGCTAAGCGGGAACGTCGGGTACAAACGATGCTTCCTGGCAGGTGTAGAATAATTTGGGAGCGTTGCTCGTGAGTGTGGGGCAAATATGACCAGCAGAAATAACCCCCAAGCCCCTAAACTCTGCCTGGCAGCCCTGTGACTGTCTGCAGGTGCCTGTGTGGTGTCCAGCCCAGTGCCCCGTGGCTTAACCCGCTCCTCTGTGTCAGACCCTCCGCAGGTGCTACAGCCGCGTGAAGGAGCACGGCGTTGGGAAGAGGAAAAGCAGCTACACGTTTGAGCAGCTGGAGCAGGTGTTTGGGCAGGGAGGATGGGACTCCCAGCCCTGCCAGCCCGTCCTCATCAACAGCAGCGGCTTGTACCAGGAGCTGGAGTCGGATGGCAGCACGATGGAGGAGTATTCCCAGGAGGACTGGGGAAACCACAGTCAGGACCTTCACTGCTACCAGACCGGAGAGCAGGAATTGGGTAAGAAATCCCATCCTGGCACATCTCCAGTCTCGGGTTTTACCTGTGCTCGTGCCTGTCTCACACATGCTCAGTACCAACTTTCATCTCTCGGGTGTGATGTCCTCAGGGTGCTAAAACACATCCCTGGGGGAAAAGGACAGAAATCCCCCAGTCAATCAAAAGTAACACGTGGTTCTTGAAGCATTTTAGCATCAGAACTGGAGTTTGAAGAGCCTGTCAGGAGGAAAGAAGGGCTGTGTGGCCAGAAATGATGGAGGAGGTGACACCTTCCCTGTCTCTTCGTCTGCTCTCAGTTTTACTTCCCTTCATGGGAAGTAAAATTCAGTGGTAGCTGAGTGTTATCATTCAAACACCATCTGCTTAAATTGTGAATAGAGCTTCAACCTGCTGCTGGTGACACCAAGAACTGTAAAAAAATGTTACTCCTTCCTCTGTACTCTGCTATATTGAAATTAAACACATAAATACGTTTATATCCAGGTGTGTGACCTTTTTTAAATACAAAAAATAGCTAGCAAGCTCACAGTTGAGGATTGAGACCTAAACCAAACTCCTCCATGTGCTTTTCTTGCCTGAATTATTGTTGTCTCTGCATAAGAATCAGTCTATTAATTAATTTGGACATTTAGTTGTTGCTTGTGTGTTATGTTAAACAGAGCAAGGTACCACATTCCCGATGGAAAATGCTCACCAATCTGAGCAGTTCTGGGAAGAAGTGGCTTTCTTTAGGCATATTTCTCCCTCTTGAGCCACTGCTCTTATGGGTGTGTGTTCCTCCCTTGCCTGAGCACAGGAAACTTGAAGTTGATCGAATTCAATGGAGCTGCAAGTGGAGAAGGTGAATTAGATAAAGGCTTTTTACCCCCATTTGTAGGATGAAAGAGGGAGAGGAGATGCAGTCAGGTATCTGTTCCTGTCTGTGTTTGGGGGACTGGTGAGTCAGGATGCTTTGAAAGAGCCTTAAATCACGGTTTAGCGTTAACATTTTCAAGTTGGCTGTTAACTGCATTCCAGTTCCTCAGACTTCTTCCCTGGGGGATTTAAAAATCAGAAATATGTGGGAGAGAAACAGTGGGGAGAAGAGAAACGTTACAAAACGTATGTAAATGATGGCTAATTCTGTCTGGTTTGGCTTGTTTTGGTGAGTCAAAGCGGGATCTCCTGGTTTGTCACCGTTCTCGGGGACGGTTGCGTGCGCCGGGGCTGAGATGCCCTTCGTGCTCAGAAGCTGTGAGCAAAGCACTTGGCACACAGCATCTGAATGGAACACAGATGCAGTTCTGCTGCTGCTTGTCTTCAGCTGTGCCATTGGAAGCAGAATTGCCTTTTTTCTCTCTTTTCTCCTATTTTTTTTTCCTATTTCTTTAAACAATGCAGTTTGCAATTTGGTTGATTTGTGATTTAACAGCAGGGGTTGGAACCTTGTCCTTGAAAGGTTTTGCACTTGCAGAGAGAGATTCAGATCTTAACTGACAGCATCCCTTCCAAGTTAAAGAAAAACCAAATCAATTACAGAGGGTTTAGGAACTGGAACTGACTCGTGCAGAACTCCAGCAGACTGCCTGGCTTACGAAGCAACTCTAATTTTTTTTTTAATTTAATTTCAGCCTCTGGAAAATAAAATAAAAAGTAAAAAAGGCCCTAAGTACATTATCTAAAATATAATTATGTGTTGGAATTTTACCTTTCAGATGAAATGCCTACCACGAAAAGAACATTAAAGATAAAACAGGAGTCTTCAGAAGACACGCAGTAAGTAATTTATGAATGTTTTACCCTGGAATGTATTTCCCTGGGGATGTTGTGCAGGAGGGGAGGATATTTGAAACTTCTGATTATAATTATAAATACATTGTGCAAGGCTATTCATACAGTTGAGTCTGCTTTATGCATTATTCCCGTTACCTCAGAACAGCTGAAAAGCTTCACAACTCTGTTTCTCCTTGGCTTTGCCATTCAGCAAACGAAACGAGGCTTACTACATGGATGCAAGGACTTAAACCACGGATAAAATCCACAAGAAAAGCTCCCTTCCTTGGTGGGAAGGCATGCCAAAGCCTGGGAGTCTTTCATTTTAGTTTTTATGACTTTCCAGACCTTATTTGTAACCTTTTGGCTGGGTTAGTGCAGCAAACACTGGAGCGTTCTGAGTGCTTTGAGCGTGCGAATCTCCCTCGCCAACAATAACACGGAGCATTCCCAAAAATGAAAGGAATTGTGCTGGGTTTACTCCATCCAGGGCTGCTTTCTGCCAACCTTTAGGGTTGTAAAATCCCTGGGTGGTTGTGGATCCATCTGTGGGGGGAGTGAACCTTCGGGGTGTGTTCCACATGGGAGCTCCCCCACCAAGATGGCTTGTAGTGTCATCTGGAGTCAGTCTGGGGCTTTCCATGGTGGAAAACGAGCTCCTGGAGCGTAGGAGGTCACCAGCACTGGGAACAGCAGCAGAGCGTCCCTGGTGAGTCATACAACAGAGGCTTTGTACTGTAACTCCATGAAAAAAACCCTCCTAAGCTTAAAAAAACCCCAAACCGTTAAAATATGAATAAAAATAAAATAATTTAAAAAGGAAATAATAAAATAAAAATAATTAACAAGAAACTTCCATTGTAGTGCTGTAGCTTCATCAAACTTCTCACTTCAGGTGGATTTTCACTTACCCAAAGGTGACTTTTTTCTTCACATGGAGCAAATTCAGTTTAGCAACTCAGGGACAACCTGGAGAAGGTAACATTTTTCAGTATAAATGTTGTTATTGAGCAGTTTCTTGGTGCTGTTCTGTTATGCAGCCTTTAGGGAGCTGCATAGCAAAAGAATCCTGAATTTTCTGAGGTGAAGGCTTGGACTACCTGAATTTTCTCTTCCAAGTTCTGTACATGGACAGCTGGACTAGGTTTTGATAAATCAGACCTTTTCACGGTTTTATGGTCATTTTTCCCCCCAAATTCCCCCTAAAGTACACTGGAGTCTCTGAACTCTGGGACATTTTGTGGAGTGTGACAGTCCTACGTGCTCAGTGGAAGCACAAAGCATCTTCCAACACACAGATTTGCTGAAAGCTGATTTTCTTCTTGTCTGTGAGGGGAAGGAACTTCTAGACTCTGACTTCATAGGTTAAAAGCAGTCAGGAGTAGTAGGGCTGATACAAAGATAAGATGGGTATTTATTTGTTATCTTCAAAAAATAGATTTGCATCTAAAAGTCCCAGAAGATTAATAGTTGCCTAACTTTTTACCTCTTTGTGTACATTTTAAAATGTAGATAACTTAGTTCAAAGTCGGGGCACTTTGGTTCATCTGCAGTCTTGGTCAAGTGCAGATTTTCAGCAGAAATAATCTCCATAAAATTGTTCAAATTATTTGATGAACTTTGTGCTATGCTTTTGGACAGGGAGAATCAGAATCCCAGAATGGTTTGGGTTGGAAGGGACCATAAAGCTCATCCAGTTCCACCCCCTGCCATGGGCAGGGACACCTTCCCCTATCTCAGGTTGCTCCAAGCCCCGTCCAACCTGACCTTGGACACTTCCAGGGATGGGGCAGCCACAGCTTCTCTGGGCATCCTGTGCCAGGGCCTGCCCACCCTCACAGGGAACAATTTTTTCCCAATATCCCATCTCACCCTGCCCTCTGGCAGTGGGAAGCCATTCCCTGTGTCCTGTCCCTCCATCGCTTGTCCCCAGTTTCTCTCCAGCTCTCCTGGAGCCCCTTTAGGCACTGGAAGGTGCTCGCAGGTCTCCCAGAAACCTTCTCATCTCCAGGTGAACACTCCCAGCCTGGAGAAGAGAAGGCTCCAGGGAGACCTCAGAGCCCCTTCTGATGCCTAAAGGGGCTCCAGGAGAGCTGGAGAGGGACTGGGGACAAGGGATGGAGGGACAGGACAAGGGGGAATGGGCTGGGTTAGATGGGATGTTGGGAAGGAATCCTTCCCTGTGAGGGTGGGCAGGCCCTGGCACAGGTTGCCCAGAGAAGCTGTGGCTGCCCCTGGATCCCTGGAAGTGTCCAAGGCCAGGATGGACGGGGCTTAGAGCAAACAGGGCTAGTGGAAGGTGTCCTGACCCGTGACAGGGATTTGGAATGAGATGAGCTTTAAGGTCCCTTCCAACCCAAACTGTTCCATGAGTCTGTGACATACGAGGAGTTCCCATCTTCCCAGTGTCACCTTATTTTTGGGGGTGTAGGAAGCAAAGGGCAACAGGTATCCCATGTCCACATCCCGTGCTCCATCAAGATGCTCCTTCCCTGCAATAGCTCTGCTGTTGCCTCCCCTTGGCACACTGCTGCCTCCAAATAAACTGCTTTGAAAAGTGAAAGGCTACCTCGAGACTGCTCCTCTGTTTTGAGTTGATTTGAGGAGCAGTTTGATTCACTGCAGGCACTGGGAGGATGAACTAGAAAAAGCTCGTGGAACTTCACTGACAGCAGCTGTTCTGACCCCTTTGAAGTCTGCTTGGTTTGGAAACAGCGCCTTGGAACAAACTTGCACTGGTTCTTGTCTCCAGTCTTTCCTGATTTGAATTGCAGAAGCTTCCAAGGAGGAAGAAATGCAGATCCCAGACTCCAGCAGGGAGGTGGTGGTGGTTTGAGGACAGGGGAAAATCCAGCTCTAGGGCACCTTCTGCAGCTGACAAGTGAGATTGTCCTGAGACACGCAACAGGGTAAACCCTCTGCTCTGTTCCTGTTTTTATCTTGAAAAGTGAATAACATTAGCAATATAAATAAAACAAATACATAAATGCATATTAAATAAGTAATTTTAAATAGTTCAATGAATGGCAATTAAATTTTAATTAATTATAAATAAATAAATAAGTCTTACTGCTCATGATACCTCTGCTTGGCATGGGGGTCCTGGGTAGAGCCTGGGAATGGGAAGCTCAGCTGAGCTGTTGAGTCCCAGCATAAGGGAGGAGATGCTATAACTGAAAGGCAAAACTCCTTAAAATTCCTCTTTCCTTGTTTTCCTCTGTGCTGGAAGTGAAGAGTTCCCTGTGGAAAGCCCTTCTCTGCTGCCAGAGATCCCCTCTTGTGGAAAGGCTCCTGTTCCTCACAGGAGCAGTCGGAGTGACTAATGCACCCGAGCTCCAGCTCTGGATTGTGCCGAGCTAAACTGAATATATTTATAGTGCAATTAATAAAGGTGGGGGCTTTGCTTTCGGTTCCTCGCTCTGTTCCTCCACTGTTGAATGAAAACCTGCCCACGCCGCGCTCTCCTGGCTCTGCCTGGGATGGGGATCCGTGTGCAACTGGAGCTCAGCTGCCGCTGGGAGCCGAGCGCGCGTGCCAGCGGTGAGACCGCGCTGGGCCCCGGCACTGCCCTGGGCCCTGGTCTGTCCCGTCCCCCTGTGCACAGAGGGTGAACTTGCACTTCCAAAAGACACTTTTCAAGCGTGATAAAGCAGCAGGGGAGCTTCAAATCAGTGTTGCCGCAGTGTATGTGTGTAAATGGAAGTGGATTTGGGGTGAGCACATGTTCTCCTTGCCTGGGATTTCTCTCTGTTGCTGCCGGGCAGTAGAACTGATTCCTCAGGAATAACTTGCAGTAAGAAACAGGATTTTGGCAGCAATGGAACAGACATTTTTAAGAATCCCTGGCCCAAACATGGCTCTGCTGGCCCAGCCTGTCCCTCCTGTGTTCTCCAGAAACTCGGTTACACTCCAGTCATGGCAGAGATGCGCTTCCCAAAACGTCTTTTAAGGTCTATCCAGGGATCTTCTGGCATGGTTGGTGCTGCAAGATCTTGAGGAACCCCCAGGGGGGAGGGAAGTTTCTGCCCCACAGAAGAAAAGCACTGTTGCCTGGTACAGTTTGTACTCATGGTGGGGTTTGGGAGGAGAAAATGTCCTCTTGGGAATGTGGTGACCCCCCAGTTCAGGTTTCCAGACGTGGCACAATGGATAAAAGGAAGGAGACTTGCATGGAAGGAGCTTTTACATCCTGTTTGTTGGACCAAGAGAGGTTTCTTCGATAGCAAATGAGTTGCATTATCTTCCTACACCTTTGATCATAGGACAGTAACTCCTCAGATTAGGAGTTCTCCCTGCCAGATAATCACACCCCAATGGTCTCGTTCATCCCAGAGGAAACTGCTCCAACTCTCCATGGGTGCACATGGATGCTCTGTCCTGATGTCAACCACTCCATGGAACCTCACTACTGGGAGTGCAAATAGCTCTTTGGGAGCAGGGGGATTTTTTTATTGCCTATCTGGAGGAATTCCCCTGTTCAATCCACAGGATCCAGAATGTGTCTGGGTGTATCTTCTACTCCAGGGTGTTGGTCACTTGAGCCGTGTTTCCATGCCAGCACTGGAACTGAGACCTTTGAAGCAACTTGATGTTTCCATTGGAGTTTTTACTGTTAATAGTTCTGTTTGCTGGCATTACTTTTGGGATAACAGTGAGGTGGAAACCTTTGGAGTGACAGTTGTAAATTGGGGTGCAGCACATGGACCACATGCCAATAGAAACCCGTGGCTGTAAAGAATGACCCAGTAGTTAAGTGTGGCTTTATTCAACAATGCCAGACACCTGTTTCCTTGGAGTTTCTTTGATACTGTGAGGAGTTTGGGTTGGGTTTGTTTAGATTTTGCCGAGATTAATTAAAAAAATTCCCCAAACCCATCATGGGGTTAGTTTCAGTCCATAAACTCCCCCAGCATTATTTATTGTAATAATAAAAATGAGCCGAGAAAGCTAATGGGGGTTAATGTTTTCTGAAGGTCTGTGTTTTTGCCAGGATGATTTTCCAGCTCTGACGCCTTTGTCCTTCTCTCCCTCTTCCTTAATTTCCAGGAAGCGTGACGTCATGCAGAACATTATGCAAATCTTGGAGTCGGTCCAGTTGAAGTGGGAGCTGTTTCAGAGCTGGACGGACTTCTCCAGGCTCCATCTTTCTAACAAACTGGCCATTTTTGGCATCGGGTACAACACCCGCTGGAAGGAGGATATCCGTTACCACTACGCGGAGATCAGCTCGCAGGTCCCTCTCGGCAAGCGGCTCCGGGAATATTTCAACTCGGAAAAACCAGAGGGTCGGGTGATCATGACCCGAGTGCAGAAAATGAACTGGAAAAACGTCTACTACAAATTCCTGGAGATCACCATCAGCGAAGCCAGGTGCTTGGAGCTGCACATGGAGATCGACTGGATTCCCATCGCTCACTCCAAACCCACCGGGGGGAACGTGGTGCAGTATTTGTTGCCAGGAGGGATCCCCAAAAGCCCTGGCCTGTACGCCATCGGATACGAGGAGTGCCACGAGAAACCCCCCTCCCCGCTGGCCGAGCACCGGGCGCCCGACCCCGGCAATGAGACTCCAGGGGAGCTGGAGGTGCCCTCTCCACAAGCCTCCCTCCAGGTGGATATGGAATCCGCCCGGATTATCTATTGTTACCTTGGCATCGCTGAGGTCCGGACTCTGCAGCAGTGCCTGTTTTTACACTTCCAGGCAAACACCAAAACCTTCAGCAAAGATTGGGTCGGGATCAACGCCTTTTTATCTCAGAACTGCGTCGTAGAGCCCGGCGTCTCGCCCAAATCCATCTACATCAAATTTGTGGAAGTGGAGAGGGATTTTCTGTCCGCCGGCTCTTTGGTAGAGTGCCTGGAAAAAGCCATCGGGTACCCCTTAAAATTTAACAACTGAGTCTCGTCCTTCATAAGGATCAGGGCTTTTCCGCCCCATTTTCCATCTCACTCGGATCCTGTCCGTTCACAGCCGGCGCGTCGGACTTTCCCGCGTGTTGGGATGCGCGGAGGCTCAGGCGGCGCTTCCCACGCGGCGGGCCCGGCTCTCTCCGCGCCCGCCATTCCCGCTGGAGCGGCGCGGCGAGGGGGAGCCCCCGGCCCGTGAGACGACGGTCGGTACATTCCACACGGGACGAGCTCGTGCACGCGGCGTTTTCATACGGAAACTGGGGGTTTGGGCTTTCCTTTATTCCACGGTG